CTCAGCAACAGCCTACTGTAGGAGAGAACAAACCAGCTTCCATCTGAAGAGGAAATTAGGAAAAGACTTTGGAAGTAGATTGGACAGACATTGAGGAAACCATCAAACTGCATCACAAGACAAGCGCTAACTTGGAATTCTGAAAGGAAACGAAAAAGAGAAAGGCCAAAGAACGTAATGCGTCGAGAACTGGAAGCAGACATGAAACGGATGAATAGGAACTAGAAACAACTGAGAAGGATTATTTAGGACAGAGTTCAATGAATGCTGGTGGGCGGCCTATGCTTCTCGAAGAGAGGTGACAGGCGTAAGTAAGTATTTTTGCAATGACAACATCCTAATAGAAACTGACATAATTTCAAGAACTGTCCAAACTATTAACTCGCTTCACAATGTCAGATTCAGAACAATTACCGAAGGAGGTTAATTTATAAAAATCCGTCTTAAACAGCTAAAACCAAGCAACAAAGGTGAACTATAATCTTGCATAAGTTGGTACTCTTCAACAAGATAAACCCTCAACCATATGTAAAAGAATGCTTGTCGATTGATTCGAGTTCCCATTACCTGATATTATTTAAAGTTACCATCAAGTTATTATAGCACCTGCTATGGAATTTAAATATTTATTTGAATATTAACCAGTGTTATATTTGTTCAAATCTAAGTGATGATCGAATTCAATTGACCAGCATTATACAGTATAGCAGCACATGTACATTTGAGTTTGTTCACATTCAATCTGGCTAAGTTCTTTTGTTAACTTATTTAACGGATAGAATCATCCATACAATAACAAATTATTATCAGAATGTGTTTTGTGGAGATTTTTAGAAATTTTCACAGATTGAACTCATGAGTCAGTTGAAGCTAGACCACCATTAAAAACCTGGAAGCACTGGACGACCGTTTCGTCCCAGTATAGGACTCAGCAGTGCGCACCCACGACCCTGCGCCACCCAGGGCTCGAACCCAGGACCTACTGGCTTCGCGCGCGAGCACTTAACCACTAGACCACTGAGCCGGCATTCAACGGTGTTAATGTCTAACTTCAACCAACCCAGTGGTCTAATTCAGTGGTCTAATGGTTAAGTGCTCGCGCGCGAAGCCAGTAGGTCCTGGGTTTGAGCCCCGGGTGGTGCGGAATCGTGGATGCGCACTGCTGAGGAGTCCCATACTAGGACGAAACGGCCGTCCAGTGCTTCCAGGTTTTCAATGGTGGTCTAGCTTCAACTGACTCATGAGTTCAATCTGTGAAAATAACAAATTATCCTATACCATTGTACCTTTATTATTATTGCACTTGTATGAATATGTATGCTTGAGCAATGCTAACATGAAAAAAGTTGAGATTATAACCCATATTATGTATATAAAAATAGTTTCAACAACAACAACAACAAAACAAGCCCAGTAATTCTAATAATTCGAGTAGAATAGGGACGGAAAAACAAGAAAAGATTATTTCATACGTTATTTTGATTAATTTGCCAGAATAGAAAATAGTGACGATTTGATACGTACACTTATAATAATAAATAATATGATTTATCAGATAGAAAAGAATACAGTCAATAAATATGTACTTCATTTACTTGGAGTTAGTAAGGTAGCATTGAATTTATTCTATGATTAAAAATAACACTGATCAACAATCATCAATTCAAATATTGATTGATCCCTAAATAGAAATTAATATCAGGTATGTCCACTCCTTTAGTATTAATCGAATTCTATCGATGTGAATAGCTCGGCAGTAGCATTAACGATAATGAAGTTGGTTAATACGAATTTAAATTCACCAGAGAATATCAGTTTTTTAAAGATTACATGTACACCTTATTGACAAGTACTGTAATAACATGAAACTTGGGTTGAATAAGGTTTTTCTTTCGATTAACTCATATCTGATATGATGGAAAGAAAAGTCAATTTTCGATTGATTTACTCATTATGAGTTATTGTTCAAGATTACTTCCGTTTTGATTCAATGTAATGATTACCCAATATAGTATTTGGTTTCTTTTCTCGTATGATATTTTATTCTGTATAATATGCAATATTCTTCTATCCCATTGACATAAACTATGCTCAGTATGGAATTTGTTATAAGTCGAATTATTTTTTATATATGTGATTGCATCTTAATTATTAATCGAAATGCGTGTACAATCAATATATAAATGAGTGTATTTTTTTACTAGGGTCGTTGTGTTTTGGGTGTTAATAAATCTTCACTTAGACCCGTCTTTGTGTTCTTAATTTCGCGTCGTGGGAATTGCACAGGTTGCACGTTTCGAGTATAAGTGATAAGAGTTTCCGACATAACAATCAGTGACGACCAGATACAAAAAGTAGTATTAAAAGAGCCAAGACAATAAGCATTCAAACGACAAGTTATAACAATATCACCTAACGATTGACAGTTTAACTAAATGTTATCTTATTTTCAAGCAAAAAGTCAAATTTTGTACTTACACACCAATGAGTCACTATTATTATCATCACTTTATTCAAACCTATCATATTCGATTACAATAAAGTACTCTCAGTATACACTTGCTGTATTGAAATAAATTCCTTCTGAATATGCATTTATTCGACAGTATCCAAAATATAAAATTTAAATAAATTTTTAAAAGAGATTACTCACCAATCTTTTATGACTTATAATATCTTTTATTATCTGAAAATATAGTTCATACATGAATTCCAGCTTAATCATTATCCAATTATCTCAAAATTGATAGATTTCATTTATCTTAATAACACTTGATATTGAGAGTATCTATTATTCAGGAAATATTACCTATTCACATAAATAGGTTTGTAAATACCTAGACAATATTTTTGTTGATATTTTTTCCAAGTAATAATTCATAAAAACAATCCTTATATCTACATGACTGCAATTTATAGTTACTCTTAATAATCCATGATTGTCCAGATACATTAAATACTGGAGAATATTTTATTGTTTAGTATAGAACATGAATACAAGTTATAATTTATAAGATTTATGTTCAGCTGCACATTAATGACAAAAAATGACAATGCAAGTATGTAAGTAACAAACAATTGTACTGTAATTTTAATTAATAATTGCATTGGCTGAAATCTTTTACTGAAGTCACATATGTATTTATTCTTTATTTTCACACTTATTATTCTTAGATTTCATGTATAATTTTAGGTGCATGGTTTCTACGTTCAGTATATTTTTATTATTATTATTATCAGTAATACTAACATAATTTCGATTCCAAGGATTTCCGTCTAAGTAATCTCCTCTCACTGCATTGGTATTTAATTTTGGCAACGTGTCCTGATGTATATTTGTGCTAGTTGCAACATTTATAATTGCCTGTTGTATTCCAAACCATACCAAGGATATTGGTATAATTAAAGAAGGTGGATTTTATACAAATAATTTAAAACGACCATAACTTAGGTATGACTTCCAATTGGCCTATCAGTTCTAAATTTTCGGAATTTACACTTTAGCTACTTTTACAAATTACAGTAGTATAAATAACACGACAAAAAAGACAGGCAGTGATCAAATGGTAATTAAGTACAGAATGCTCTGACATCGCGTCATGAATACATTAGAAATGAAGGAAGTCTCATTTTCTGATGATGCTATCAAACCAATTCACCTCGTATAAAAATTGAATTTGTCATTTAAATATACTATGATACACCAAGTGTATGTTGACTTCACTATGACGTCACTGTACTCAACTGTTTTAATAGTTTTACTTTAATATTTCTAAATTCATTGTCTTTGTGATTGGTTCCCGAATATTAATATTAATACTGATATAGAAGTTGATATGACAGAGTGAGACAAGACGACGAGGGTTGCGTAGCACAGTGTGCACAATGGTGATCAACTGTGGATGTGTGGACCTTCAGCTACGGTGTGTTCAGTGAAATTAATGAGGTTAACATTAATGTCAAACACATTCATAACTATTTATTTTGGGGATTTTTTCACCGCTACAGACAAAATAATGTACTTTCGGTTAGGGTTATTATGTGTTTTAAAGTGGATAAATCTTCACTTGTACCAGCCTTCTATGTTCATACTTCGCGTAATGGTTTCTCGTTTCCAGGTAAAAGTAATGGGCGACGCAAATATGAAAAAAATGATTATTCGAAAAACTTCACAGTAATAATCAAGTTTAAAAGATAGCGTCGAGACGGTTTTCCGGTGACATTTCTTAATTAACTACTAGCGGTTTGCGGGAATAACTCTAGATGTCACCTAATTCCATTTAGGCTTTTTAGTAACTATTTAGAACCTTTTGGCTAAAGTATAACCCACTTTTCCTCAGCGGTAGCAAACTGAAAATTAAGATACTTAGATTTTACTAAAAGGTTATAGGTTCAAATCCTGTGATTCACTTCGAATCATCACCAAATATTACTAACTCTTATACAAAATTGTTTAACTCAAGTTAAGACTCACAACAGCAGTTGAATGCAATACATGGTTCTAACCCTAGTGTGGTCGTAGATGTGCACTACAGGAGAATCCTATACTAGAATGAAAAAGCTGTTCAGTACACCGTGATTTCCAGTAGTAACACAACTAAGATAAATCTGTGACGAATACAATCCATATATTAAACCAATCTACACAAAACTTCATCCAAGTTATAATATTCAGATTAATAGTGACTTATTTCAACGTGTTCTTAAAGTTTAATTAAGACATTGTAGGCGGTGGAGTTCAAACATGTTGAAAGTGAAACAGTTGTCATTAATAGCACTCAATAATCGTCACACTAACTCACAAAGTAATTGAATTTGAAATTATAACACTGAACCCCATATTACTAGTTCATTGCGAAACTTGAAGGTCCCACGTTAACTCCATAACGAGGTCGTCCGTGCTCATTCCTCAATAGTTTTATACTAGAATGAAATAGCTAGTCTAGTTTTTAATAATACCCCAACTGAGATCAATCTATAAAGAATCACAACTTATTATTAATTTGAATATATTCAGTTTATTCATTTAAATGAATAAGACAAAAAAAGCGCCTATATGAGTTAATGAATTATAGATTAAGTAATAAATAACATATAACTTCTTTTTAAAAATATTTTAAACAAAAATTATAAAACAGTAAACAAATCACAAATAAATTAATTCATGACTAGAATGACTACTGACAATTAAAATAAAGTAGTATTGGTAAAATAGATGAATTTTATCACCAGTGTAAAATAATAAAAACAAAATTAATCAATTTTACAAACATATTTCACAAAAAGAAACACAATATTATAAATAATGATAATAAAATTCAAAAAATAACAATTGAATATTTTCTTTTAATTCAATAGAAACTAAAACATAGAAAGCATAAAATGATCAACTCTAAATGAAATGCACAAACACACACACACACACACCACACAGACGAATACAATCATATATATATTTATCATTATGAGTCTTATTATAATTATTGTGTATTATGCAATCTAAGATAAATAAACAAAAGTCAATAGGATTATAAATGCGTATATGAACTCAAAAGAATCTTGTGTAAGGAATATGGTTCATGATAATAACCAACCAACCAGCTTCACGATAATATAGTTGTAGCACGTTCAGTTATATGATGAAGAAGATTTTCAAAGCTAGACAAAGAGAGATGAATAGAAAGCAACAAGAGTAACAAAAAAAACTGTTAGACAATAAAAGAAGTTAAAATATACTGATATATGTAAATTAAAACAACAGGTATATATTTATTCGATCTTTTGAATAATATGTTATATATATATATATATATATATATATTCTTCCGATTAATGTCTGGATTGGAAGATATTTCAATGTTAGACAAGATGGTATGATTTAATTAAAACGAAAGTTTAACAACAGTAGCATCTGCCCAAAGTGTGAATCAGTACTGAATAGTACGCTTCAAAATGGTACAATACAACAAAATCAACAAGGTGAAATCATGTAATGTTAAACGTGTTAAAAATTTACCCATAAGAAATATGGATCGGTGTAGAACATAGCATATATATATATATATATATATATATATATATATATATATCAGTTCACGCTGACACACTATATCAACACACTCAGATGAAATTATCACGATAAACATCAAGCAGAGCAGTACTATAATAATAATAGTAATTATTATTATTATTATTAGGAGGAGGAGGAGTAGTAGAAAAAGCTGTGCCTAAACAGTACCACTCAAAAAGAATGGATGGATTCGCGTAACAATCTGAGCACCTGGGAGTATCACAGCCTACACACAAATCAAGTGACTTGTGTGGTGCATATGTATTCAGTGCACCTTTGTACCAATATTTATGTTCATATAAGTAAAAAAATAAAAAGTTGGAAAGTAGTCTTAATATCTAAGATCTGAGAAAAGATAAAAACTAAGTGCATCTGAGTCACATCATACGTGTCCAACCACTATTACGATAATCGCGTGAACTCCAACCATGTATTCTGCGCATACTTATATCACTCAGTTCAACAAATAATAACTTAATGGAATGATGCCACTTTTCGGGTTGGTCGACTCTACTGTTTTTCTAACCAATATCTACACAGCATTAGACATTACGTGTCAAGATAGGCGGTGACTGGGCATACATGATATAAGTTCCAACAGCTCCAGGCAATGAAAATTCACTACAACTGTATAACCTCTAAAAATAAAATCATCGGAAACAGAAATCCTCTTTATTAAAATATTTTTGTAAATTATATCTTGACTGGAATTGTGAATTTAGTTCTAAACAAACATCTTATTTCCCTAGCTGCTAAAACAGAAAATATTAAAAGAAAATTAGTCAACTTACATCATTTTTATAGTTAAACGGTTTTTCCTATTTGGACAAAGTTTTTCAGGTGGTTCAGGCAACATAGGTCCTTCTACTTCTGGATCCTTTTGACTTGAAAAAAGTATGTTACAAAAAAGGTTAACCACTGAACCTTAAGAGGGTATACATTTTTCATGTAAACATGTATAAAACAATCCTGTTTTTGATGAGATACAGAAACACTATTCTACTTGATTGTTACTAATGTTGATGTTACAGAAATCCAGTTTGGTTTCATTTTGTAATGAAAAAGCCTATAACTTATTGGTCTAGATACAAAATGTCCAATTACGGGATAATACATTCCACTACTCGCTAACGTCAACATTGTTTCGTTTAAAGTGTCCCGAAAAAATACTTCAGCAACTCCGAGCAAGACTTAGCCCCCCCCACACACATCTCCCCGTGGTTCCCTTGAAGACAGTGGAAAAAGTCCCATGAACTAACATGGAAGGACAAAAGGATATTAGACTAATCACGCACTTTATCGAAACACGGATTGATACTTGCTCATGATACAAGCTATCTGGGTAAAAAACATCAAATATGGGAGAGGAAACCATCATAACCTCCCCGTGGAGTATCGATGCCTATGTGTATACTATCGGATGCATAGGTCTTCGACTTATGTATTTTATTTTTGTGTGTAACTTATACTTTCAAAGCTAATAAGCAACAGGTAACACTTCCCAGTAGCTAGTCCATACTTTAAAGGAGTAGATCCAGTAAAGTTAGTCACTTTCACCATAATGTATGACTGAAGGGGCACCTCACCAACCCTCATCCTAGGCTAGTATTTTAGACGCTATATTAGTCAAACTAATCCCTCTATGGTTATCACAGGATGATTTTGGCCCCTTCTTATATATTGGGACGATCAGTGATAGCGATCTGTCGGATGGGATTAGGTTCAGTTCCCAGATTTTAGCTCAAATATTAGTCAGCCTAATCGCTAAAACTGGACCGCCATACTTCAAGACCTCTAAAGCCAATCCATCTGGACCAGCTGCTCTTCCTCGTTTCAGATTAGCCATAGCTTTTTGAACTTCAGTTAAAATCGAGGGGACTACTTCAATGTTGCATTCAGGGTGTTTGGAAATGGTGAGTGGTTGCAGAGTAGCTGAAAGCCAGCTGAACTACTCCTTAAAGTGTTCCGCCCATCGTTCTAAACGTCTGGACTGCGAGCAGATAAGAGTGCCATCTTCTTCCAAGATTGTTTCACTTACACTTGACTTCTTAATTCCAGTTTCTTTTATTAGTCTGAAAAGCTGTCTTGTTACCTACAGCCATCGCGTTTTCCATCTCTTTTGCTTTAGATGTCCACCACTGCTCACGGTCGTTCCTAAGACCTTTGTTTAACCTAGATCTGATTTGCTTTCGCTCATCATCGTGTTCAGAGCCTGATGGGATAAGTCTGCCAGAATCCATCAGTGTGATGGACTTAGAAGAAATTCATCGGTTTCTTGTAACCCTTTGGTTTAAATCACTAATAGATATCACTGCTGTTTGCATATCTCTCCAAGCAACATCTGGGTCAACCTCGTTTTCAGAACTGCCCAAGTGTGACCTCAGTTGTTCCTGGAATCTACTTTCGGCTTTCTCGTCACTCAGTTCAGTTCTAATAGGTCTTCTTAGTGTGATTTTTCTGAGTCCAGTGAGGTGCAAGCAAATGCGTACTCGTATCAGAGAATGATCAGGGTCCAAGCAGGTATTCCAGAATGAGCAACAATCTACTATCGACCCCCTCCAACGACGACTGATGACAATATGATCTATCTGAGTCCATCGTCAATTTGATGCAGGGAATCGCCATGTTACATGATGTCTCTTCGTATGTTCAAAATTAGTCTTTGCTAAAAATAAACGACTGTGTGAGCACAGTTGCAGCAGACGACCACCATTGGGTCGCCAGATACACGGAGGGTGTATCTCGTCAAGTGAATGATCACACTATGATCCTGTTTTTGGAGACAGAATACATCAATGGTATGAGATTCTACGGTTTTAGCCAAGGAGACCTGTTGGCCGATTTGACATGGGTTGCATACGTTGGAGGCTCCAATGTGTAGTTTGGAGCGAGGTTTCAGAAGACCTGGGACAGTGTTTCGCGCACTAGAATCGTTGGACATGGTGACACTTGAGGAGGAAGTCAAAAGAGGAAGTTAAGAGTTGAAAGTCGAGGTAGGAAGAATAATAGGAAATGGAGAGGCGAATTGATTATGAATACAGTGACAATGGATTAGATTAGCATAACAAGTACAATCATTTAACAAAGTCACGAGGAAGTGATTAGCCATTTTTTTCTAGTTTGAAGTCCTTCAACAGTGCGTGCTCATGACCAAACATGTGGTCGGATACAAGACTCTCTGGCTTAGCATGAAGCTTCAATCGACGGACAATACAGCACGACCCTTATCTTATACCCAATCAGTAACGACCGTGTCTATCCCAGCATGGTTGACTTCGTATCGATCAATGGATTTTTAATCGAACTCAACTCCGATGTCTATAACCTCAGACCGGAGAATTTCCGAAATTAGCTCTCTAAGATAGTCACTAAAACACGCATGATGGTCGTCAATATACTGGGTATTGTGGGAACAATTAGCTAACTCTCTCCCTCACTGGATTTCAATAACTGTATAAGTGATGTCGGTTTGTGATGAAACCTACCCCCCTCCCTTAACAATAATAATAAAAGTAGTAAAATAATAAAAAAGGACAAAACATACTTTTCTAACTCTAACAGTCTCAATTCTTCTTCCAATTCAATTAGTCGACATTTAAGTTCATTTCGTTCATGTAGCAGATAACGTAATTCTTCTACAGAGACATATTTATTAGTAGTATTTGATTCTTGTTCAAAATTAATTGATTCTAAACCTTGTCCAGCAGGTAGTTGTAGTATTGATTCACATGTATTCGACTTGATGTTTTGAACAAAAAAAATTAAATATAAAGAAGAAACAATGATTGACAGTGTGTAGAAGAAAATTATTAACAATTTGTGGGTTGTATTCTTCATACCCGTTGATCTCATTTGGGACACTACTGAAAACTAAGGATCAATCTGTGACAATCTACAGCACACAAATCAATCCCCATAAAACTTTCCACTCAACTATAATAGTCGCCTCATCGGTAACTTGCTTCAATATGTTCCTGAATTCTGACTGAGAAGTCGTGACTGGTGGAGTTCAAACATGTCGTGAGTTAAACAGTTTTAAACAGTGACATTGAATGATCACTGTGCTATCGTTTGAATTGCTTGAAATCGCAGCGGTAACATTAGATACTAACATGTTTTTTGTAAATTTTTCCCCCAGACCTGAATGTCCTGGGGCCATGAGTGTGCAGAGTCCAATACTAGGACGAGACATCTGTTCGGTGCTCCTTGGTTTCCAATAATACCCCAAATGAGGTCAATCTGTGATGAAAACAACCCACAAACTAAACTGTTATCCCCATATCCACTCAAGATGAATACCAAAGGATTCGAAATAATTGTAGCAGCAATAATAATGATAAAAACGAAGCATTGAAAATATGATTTAAGAAGACGGAATCAACAGCTATACATGAAAGAATACTGGAACTTAAAATCTATAGAATGACAAAGAATGAATGCACCTGAGTCGCTGGGACCAATGTTAAGCCATGTCACGTCTCCACTCCAACCACTGATCGTGGTTATCACGCTGACCTCAACCAGGTAGTCTGTACCTAGTAACGTAACTCAGATCACCAGTCAATGATTTCGTGGACTGATGCTATATTAGGATTTGGCTGCCCTTAAGCTTATATCCAAGTTATTCGTACTCTATCCATCACTCGACGTCGAGGTAGGCAGTGGTTTGTCATACATAACAGATGTTCTAAAAACCTTAATCGATTGCTAAATATATTAACTATAAAACTCAATGACTTGAGTTTAGATGAAAAGCGTCTTGAAAACAGTTTTAAATCTAGTAATGAAATCTCTCAGGTACAACTTTAGAAAAGTGTTTACTTTCCGTTCCTGAAAGTAGCCAAGCCACATATCTAATTATTACTGTTGATACATCAATATTTTTTACCAAGTCCTGAATATTAACAACATGAAACAATCCAAACTGAGAATAATAATAATAATAATAATAATAATAATAATAATAATAATAATAATAGTTATATTTTTAAGGCTATCAGTCACGTAAATAATGAAGCTAAAATATTTTTGAATATGTGTTAGGTTGTTAGAGATACTGAACAAGAAACGCCCCTTGACCAAGATTTCAAACCAATATTAAGGGAACTGATGCTCACCAGTGAACTCGAATCTAGATCATTGAGTATCATAACCCAAGACGCTATTCAAGCAGCGACCAACCTCTTATAAGACTGGGATATTTACACTAACTTATCACTGAGTAGTGTCCAACGTCAATAAATTCAACCTATGCACAAAATATGGTGATTAGCCAATGATGTAAACAATCAAATTATGTAACTTAAAGCTAATATTACCATTATTCCAGATTGGTCATTATGTAGCGTATCGTTATTTGATAAATCTTTCAGTAAATTTGCCAATTCTCGTTCTTTTACACATAACTGTGTTTCAAGTGTGGCTTTTTCTGACACCAATTGACCAGTTTGACGTCTATGAGGGGCACAAGATGCCAATAATTGACCGCTTTGACGAGCTAAACGACAAACTTCTTCTTCCGACTTTAAAGAAAAAATAAAGCCGACCAAAAGATACAGCAACAAAATATGTTCAATATTTCAATAAACATCTACGTTATCAATTCTTATGCATTAATTCTCTTAAAAAATCACAAACTATCCCCTTCTGTTTTAAATCAAAAAGACTCATTTAACTGTGAAAGATAGTTTACTATCTTAGCTGAACTTTCTATTTGATTTCGAAAAGTTTCTGAAAAACTCTAATTGGTTGCGACCCAGCTATAGGTTACACTAGACAATGGTAGAGATTTGTAGTTCAGATGCATGATTTTGGTGGAGTTTCGTCCTCTGAGTTAGATTGTTTAGTCGTGAAAATATGCTTGTTCCTCTAGACAACACCATCAATACAAATGCTAGGGACAAGTGGGATATTCAGATTTCTCCACAAATAACTGACAGTTTGTCCAGTTGACTTTGATCTTAATTGGTTATTTTTAACCTTTAACCTGTTGTTTTCTATATATTCATTTTGTCTATCTCCTTCCTTTGACCTGCTTATTGAATTTTTATTCATCTATGGTTTTTCTGATACCACTTGTTATATCCTAGTGAAGATAAATTAAGTGTAACTACTGAGGACTACTAATGGATCGATATTATATATATATATATTCTTATTATATAATTATTAAGTGATCAGACAATATATATCTATGCTCCTCTTATTACAAGCTTTATTTTGATCTATAGACTATTATGATAAGATTTACTGTTCTTAAATTATACTCAGTTTACTGATTACAGTCTACCACGTTAACAGCCATATTTTGGCTTGATCTTGTATAAATGTTATTTCCTATTTTATAGTGTGATACGGTCTGTTTGGCTGATATATAAACTAATTATGCTTGAAATGAATGATTCGCATAATGGAATGTGTTATAAGCGTTCTGGACTCAACTGGAACGACTAGGAGGACAGAGGACCAATAATAAGGTTAGGCTGCCCGTACCGGTCGAACGTCATTGGTTTGGAACAGTATTAAGATTGTATAAGTCGCATTTCGATTGGCGAATAAATCACGTGATAATTAGCCGAGCTTAAAGTCACAACACTACTACTATCCAACAAGTTAAATATAACACCTACAATACATCGGAATCATAAACCAGCCTGAGTCAAACAACCATTAAATACCTGAAATCACTAGGCGGCCGTTTCGTTCGAGTATGGGACTCCTAAGTAGTGCGTATCCACGACCCCATGACCGGGATTCGTAGATTGGTTGAAATTAGACTTGCACACCACTGGATCCCGGCTTAGTCGCATAGAGCTTAGGCGTCCACAAGTGAGACAGAAGGCCCTATGTTTTATCCCCGGTTACGAGGTTTTGAATGCGCACTACTGGGAAGTACTATGCTAGGATGAAACGACCGTTCAGTGCTTTAAGGTTTTCAGTCATTGTCTGATTTATGTGGGTTCGTTATTCCAGTGAAACTCAGCAATCTTCATGACTTGTACTGACCTACAATAAATTTCATGGAAATTCAACAAAAGGATGAGGTTTTACTAATAATGGCATCATATGGTTGCTATAATCACATAAAATCATTATTTTTCATTACTAAATGAATGCATTGCAATGGACTACGTTCACGATTAAATTTGAACCAGCAAACAGCATCTAAGTAAACCGATTTTTAGTGTTCTACCGATTGAGTTAGGATATGTTGATATCAATTCAGTTAACTCTAATTTAGCTTAGTGTAATTTAATACGATAAATAAATAATTGAATTATGACGAAATTTCAAACTATACATTAATTACACAGTAAACGTATGGCTACAGTTCACTCAATATAGAATACTACACATTAATACTGTAGTGTTCCTGGGAACAGCAATTTAACGAAGAATTATTATTATTGTTTTATAGTGTGAAAAAACGGTTGAATATATTATGGTCATCATGCAACAATGAACATGATAGACGACAGATTTATCAGAAAAATGTACTTTTTTGTAAAAGTCTCAACTTTGTAGTGGTGACTTTGTGACCAATAACTCTTTATTCTAAAGACTAATGAACATGAAGGCCAACTATTTTAGTTTATGTGTTGAGTTGGTCAGTAATGATGCAGCAGATTTACTAAAGTGAATCGAACAAATTTGTCACATCTTATATTACGATATGAAAGAAAATCGGCAAAACGGAAATTGATTTGATCGAAATAATAATATGAATGTCAATTGCGGTGGAAAAAAGTCTGAAGATGATAAATTTATTCCCTAAGGTCTCAACTAGCAGATCCAAAGAACAGATAATTTGTACCTCTATTTTTCCACTTAATTCATACGAGTCAGTTCTGTACATTAAAGTAAACAGTAGTTGAATTCGTGTAACAAAAAAATATAAACTGAAACCATTTTAACGAGAAAGTCAAGAAAAATGATCACAACGATGTGGATCAAAAACAACACTGGAGCAATAACTGTAGGTACGAAGAGAAAATAATAATAATAAAGGATAAGATTATCTATTTAAATACACTTACTGCATCTAATGAAGCGCCAACTTCAGTTAACTCACGACGAATTTGTCGTGAAGTTTTGTAATTAATTGCTACACATTCTTTTAGTTGTTGAACTAGTTGAAGATCAGCTGCACGATCTATAAAAAAGAAATCAAATACTAACTTTAATATATCTATTATAAACTTTTAAATAAACCATTTCTATTAAATTTAATACATTTGTATAGAACATAATGTTGAATAACTTTAGACAATTCAATAAACCAGTATCAGTGTATGATGTATTTTCCCTAACAGTAACTCTATCAAGCATATTTAGTAATGCTATCGAATCATAAGGACTGAATTGTAGTATTAAAAAAACTGTAGTCAAAACAAATAATATTTGGACTTTAATAATTTGTCTGAATTATAAGTTATTAATTTCAATGGTTGAGATCATGAGTCAATTTAAGCTAGATCATCATGGAAAATCTGGAAACACTGGACGGCCGTTTCGTCCTATTGACTCATGACCTCAACCATTGTAATTACTATAATGTTCACAAAAACCCCTTCTGATATAAATTACTAATTAATTAATACAAAATTATGAAGTAGATATAATTATTTGAAAGACGAGAGTAAGACGTACATACCAAATATTAATAAAAATTGAAGACAAATAAATAATTATAAAAAAATAGTCATACTCATAAGGAAAATACATTTTCAATTAACTGGTAAATAATTAGAAAATGACTCGTAATAGAATGGAGATGAGCTGAAAGCAACCACGAATAGACTACAGTCAAATCTAAACTAATCAGGAAACAGGTTATACAAATGGATATTTTATGGGTAAATAATAATAGTACAAAGTGTGAGGAAGGATTTTATAAAACTAGTGAAGCTATCAGAGTCTTCTACATATTACTCTGCCTATAAATCGGAAAAACAATGATATATAAATTTGTCCATACAGTCACTAACTTCTGGTCTGAGCCATGTTGGTAGATGCAAACTACTTAGTTGAAGTGCACGCGACTATCGTAACCAATGGTTGGAGAATCTCAGTGACAGTTTAAAATCGATTACAATGGCGTAGGTGTATACACTCTTTGTCTGACCTTAAACTGAGATTAAAATTACTATATACCTTTCTTCCTACGAACTAATTCTTTCTCCCTGTGTTATAATCTCTTTTCTTACGGTATGACCCAGCTATACCTATTGCTTAATATTCTTGGACACCAATCACTCGACAAGACCCCAAATCAGAACACGGTTGAACAGGAAGAGAGATTGTATTCCAAATAACAAGGTTAGATGGAAGTAAGATGCAAGTAAGAAGCACAATACGGAAAACGTCAGTATATTGATAGTTTTTACATGAGAAGATTCTAGAGTATCCTCCAAGTATCGATTAGTGCTGATTGGATAAGAATTAGCCAATCAGCGTGCACCAAGGCAATCGTGCTTTGAACATGCTTTAATCCAGTCTATGTTCCGCTAACACCCTGTATTATATCCCCACATGCAGCCTTTCTTCTATATATTACTATCATTGAAGTAACTGCTTTTATAAATTTGGTGGTTATCTTTTTATGCTAACACCGATGCATATATGTGCCTGGTCCCAAGCCGTAGATGACTGACTTGTCTTTAAGGATTAAAATTATTCATCGTCCAAACTCAAATAGATTTCGAAAAGTTCTCACATTATTTTTGGTTAGGGTTAGATATTCAAGGTTAGGATTAGGGTTTTCACTGCAAACTAACATCAGCTAACATCAGCAAAAATTCAAAAGGAGTAATCCTAAGCCCAACTAGTTTACCTACAAATCATAGTGCCATCAGGTTAAGTTTTGTTTCAGGACTGAGGCTTATAATTTAGGAATAGTGGTAATTTGCCTATCACATAAAATCTACATGGAAGGAATTGAGCATTTGATATGCTTAACACCATCATTTTTGTCCTATAATGGCAAAATCTAACATTTCGTTTTTAATTTAAGAGTTCGGAGTACTATATAGTTATTTTTACTGCTCACTTTGCGTAATTCTTGAATTTCGAGAAAAAATTCGTCCTTTTGTTCCCGATAAATATATATCAACCGACGATTTGCAAATATTTTGTCACATCAGATTAGTAAACATATTTAGACAATAATCTTTGAATTCATTAATTACTAAAATTCGCAAATCCTTAGAACTTCGTTCAACTGATATGAATTGGCAAAATTTGATAGTTCACGAAAATAGTCGAGAAAAAAGAGCAGAACACAAAAGAATGTTTCTTCTCGAAGTCAAACTAGTTATTTTAAGCGCTCAATTTTTTCTTGTAGTTACATCACGCTTTGCCTTACTGAATATCAAACCATTGTTTCAAATATTATGGTTGAAATTAAATCATATGAAAGTAATATGGTCGAAAGTTCAGTAAAACAAAACCTAGTTACTTGTCAAAATGTACACTAAGAATTGTAGTTGTATGATTTAAAGTAATAAACATAATACATGATACTCTACAGAAATATACCTGAATCAGCATGACTTATTACATGATTAAAACTAGAAATCTCCTCATAAAGACAGTCCTATTGTAAATAGCAAGCTATTAGAGTTACTAACTTGGATCACTTTTTACTGGTAATAACTAATTTTGTGGAGAGAATCCTTAAGTCCTCATAAACGTTCTGCTTAATCGAAAGATCGACTTTAATCCATAATTTAGAGTTTAGTAAAAAAGGCCTATCTTGTTCCCGGTCAAATTACTGTTTTCTATAAATCATATATTCAATTATTTAACCGACTGAAAATGAAAAAACCTACTTTCTTGTTCAGTTAACTGTATTCTTTCTTCCGTCTCCAATAGTAAACTAGACATCATATCAGATAATTCCTCCTCACTAGGTTTGATTTTTAGGTTGTCATAAATTTTGTCTGCGTCAAGATTGGCTGAAACACCTTTAAGACCCAACTTTGCAGTGGCTAATAAAAAAGCACCTACTTTTGACTGGTGAGATGTTGGACATATAATATTTGATTCATCACACATTACACAATTTTGTAAGATATTGGAATCTTCCTGTTCTCTGACCTCTTTATGACAAGAAGAAATTAAATGATGTGTTAAACGAACATTTTCTTGTTCTAATTCAGCAATTTCTTGCAATAACTTTTGACTTTCACAATACCAACTTTGTTCAAGCTGTTCCAAGCTCTAAAATTAAGGGAAAATGTGATTTTTGAAGACCAAATAATTCTCAGAAACACTTGTTTGGTTTATTTTTATGGTATATCAATTAGAAAGGAGAGCCGAGGACAGAGTTGCCTGGAGAATTCTGATCGAAACCCTATGCTCCAAGAAAGATAACAGGAGTAAGCAAGATTAACTGCTTATTATTAAATTAGTTCAACTGTTTTATGAAATAACACTTCATTGACATTAGCTCTTTAAGCATTGATGCTAGGCCTTCAGTATTCAAAGCTGAGCGGTGATTCAGTGATAATGATGGTAGACTTTCAGTCACTTAGTCCCAGGTTCAAACCCAGCTCCACATAATTTAGTTTGTCTAAATCGATAGTTGCACTTTTCCTCATATATATGGTATGGATGAAGCTAAATACACGAGTCTGTACCTGGCAAATGGAAGTTAAGGAATAACAAAGCACGAATACATTTTTAAAAAGTGCCAGTCAATTTCCTTGATACTTAAAGCTAATTAAAAACTCGGATGAAACTTTTTTGAGATAGATAAAGCAACAATAAGTGTTGATCTATAAGTCTGAGAAACCATAATAGCATTGAAAGACTTACATTTGGATGATAGTGGAAGCGTTAATTTTTACCAAACGTTCCAGAAGTATGTTAGTAAACGCCACGGAGATACACAACATTCGTTTAAAGCTTCCTGATTACTAGTGAAATACAGGTGGCAATAAAAACTAGCATACGGAATCGAAAATAACAATTTCACTAACATAAAACTTCCAACGGCATCATTATATTATCACAACCAAATATAAACCTTTCAAGTATATTTGATATTCTAATGCTTAAGTGAGTAGCCTACACAAAAAAATGAATTCAAAATTGATAGTAACTCCATTTTTTATACATCCGGAACAAAATGTAAAATCCCTAGGATTATGGATGAAAAAATACTTCCATGTACTTTTATCGACAAAACAAGTGAATAATAAAAAGTACAAATACCTAAAGTAGGTAAACAAGTGGTTAAATACATCTACGTGAACTACATTATAACAAATCAGATATCTAGTAACTCAAACTGACTTTATCATATTTATCTTTAAGTATAATGTCAGACTTCTGATCTTGACGAAGTTCATCTGCAACTGTTTGAAGGCGTGCAATTTCTTCCTTTTCTTTATCACAATAACTAGTACAAGCTTCTAATTCTTCCAAAATATAGACAATTTTCGGCATTAAATCTCTTAATACATCATCACCATACTCATCAACAATTAACTGGCATTCACGACCAATAGATAAGGCTGCATCATATACATCCATTGTAGTAAACATTGTTTATTGATTTTGAGTTAATCTAAAGTTCTAAACAGTGATATGAACAATAAATTATATTAATTAGAAGCCATAAACAAAGTAGAGTAAGCATTTTTGATCAGATATAATCTCACATTTAAAATAAGTATCTATTATGAGAAATTATTTACTTATAGAAACGTATCTAGTTCTTGTCCAATATATTTAGCATACAAGAGTGAGTAACTAGTTTACTGAATGTGTTCAAATGCTTTTAAACAAAAGTTAGACAACTACAGATTTAGTGTGTTTTACAATACACATACAACTAAAACAAATTAACCTAGTGTTCAAATAAGAATCAAGTTTACAAAAAAAGTGTCCCTTCATTGGAATATTTCTATTAACCCACCATCAACCGATCCTCTTCCCTAATCTCGAAGAACAATCTGATTATAGACCCATTTAGATGACTACATCCTGTTTTTTTAAGACAACACGCATGCTTTACTCAGGTCAGTTAATGTAAATTCATAAGATCACTGACTGACTAAACACATTTACTTAGAATTAAATACAACGTTATATTGTTAACTCAGTAGTTCCATTAAAGGCCAGCGACACTTTGCACGCATCTATTTTTGTATACTTTTAGCATAATTGTCTTCTGCTCTTTGTGATTATGATTCACACTTATAGTATAATATAAAGTAACAGCATATTACTCATTTATTTAGTTAGACAAAAACTGGTACAAAATGGCACCAAAATATATATGCGCCACAAAAAGTAGCTAACATTAAGTTAGTTTGTGGGCCGGAATACTCCCTGAGTGCACAAACCAAAGGTGGTTTTCTTAAGGGGCCAATCACCGAGTCTTTGACCTAGAGATCCAATCCATAAGGCAGTAGAGCAACATTAGATGTAGTCACATGATATCCGATGACCAGGAACAGGTTCATACACCATTTGCTCCCTCAGGATCCTGAAGCCCACTTGCACCACTGGTTTGGAATCAGGGGTTTTCGACTCAGGTGAATTTTCCGTACCTACTAACCCGGTTCAAGCGCTGGACATTCACTTTTCGTCCTACAAACTTCGTGAACAACAAACTTGACACGTAAAGCCAGTGAATAGGATTTCCCTAACCATGTTTGTAAAAACCTACTGAAAAGCAAACCGGTCTCAGTTTCCACTACTTTTGATTTATTAATTCTAAGAATTCTTTTACTTAGCATGTTTATATAACTAAATCAAAAACCCAGTCAAATAAGTAGAGCACATAAAATGGGATCATTCGGAACATACTTTATACTTGAAAAAAGAAAGCCAATGACAAACACGAAAGTCTAACTAGTTTGCAAATTTTTGTACTCGTCGTTGAGCCAAACTTGAGGATTGGGCGCGAATGAGTGTTATTTGGTCCTGAGATGAACTAACAGCAGTAAACCTTCATCGCTAAGTCAGAACTTCATTAAATTAGAAGTTACCATTCAAGTTTCGCAAGAACTGGATTACTAAATATTTCTTCAAACACTAAATTTGATGGTTTCATTTAGTGAAACAATGTCGTACTTATCAAAAATTGGAAGCAATATGTTCCCAGACTTATAGAACGCACGTCAAAGATTAAAAGAAATTCAGAACAAACAACTTCATTTGTCACAGGTGAGTTCAAGACGTGAGACGTTAAATATGAAATCACGAGTAGCTCGGTATACTTAATAATAAGATGATTGATGAGTCCCATCCTACATAATGGATGGCATTGGATTGGTGATCAACTGCACAAACATACTGAATAAGTAGATGCTTTTTGACAAATATCTCTCATACCACAAGAGAAACACAAAAAGCGTACTTTCGATGGTATTAGGCAGAATGGAGATAGATAGTTCACATACATAATTTGTAAACTAATAATTCAAGAACCCTAGCGTAGCTTGCAAACACAACTGTCCAATACCTTGAAATAGTTACAAGTTTTAGGAACTTTTGAGGTACTTTTCGCATAAACCGAGTTACAACATTCCTAGTCGAAATGTTTGATGAGATATTAAATCCGCGAAAATTTCGTAACTTGACAAATTACTTAGGTTTTGGAAATATTTTTCTTTAGTTTAGAGGCAGACAATGGCTCTTTGATTTTAACAGTGTATGGTTTCAAAAGGATCACAACAAAATTTCATTAAGACTCAAGGTCAACTGTGCAAGCATTATTGTCTTACCATAGCAGTTAAAGTGTTCTTCGGAAGTACATAACATGAACAGTTTCTGAAGTTATTAAGCATCCTACTGGCTATTATTACTTATTATCGATTCCTATTCTGAATTCTTTAAATGCTTCAAACGAAGCTTTCTCTTACCGAGCAGTACCAGTTAATCCTAGATATATTTAAGTAGGGATGTACGCAAAAAAATAAGCCAAAGAGCAAAACGTGTCTGCATATTATTGTGGTATGCTGCGTCCATTCTGAAAAGATGCATATTAAAGTTTCCTCTTATACCATTTCAAGGGAGTTGCTTAGACTAATTTATCCGATAGTGGATTTCAAGACTTGGCTGCACACAAGAAATAAATGGTTTTCCCATAGTTGAAGAACTGTCTTGTACTTAGTTCATAAACGTCCACCGGTCAATGTTTGTTAAAAACTTAAATTATGTAAATATTATCGCGAATCTCCAAAATTTACACGATACTGTAAGTCACTAAATCTAGGGATTGGAGGTTACTGAATTTGGCTGTCTTAGGACTGTTATTACTTAGACGACGTTGTATTAACTTGAAACCAACACAAATAGCAAACGAATTTTGCGAACCCAGGATATCAATACTTTTAATGTGACAAGATATGCAGCACACAGTAGGCACATGACATCAGGAACTCCCAGATATTTTTCCTGTGAAGCAAATCGGGACGAAGATGACTGCACTTCAACACTAATGTGTGTCACTAGACCCTAACAAATAGGCAACAGGTACTTGGAGTTTGACAGCTCCTTCACATGTAACACTTTTATAATACAATCATATCAATCGAGTTAAATTAAAGGCAGAAATGTGTAGCGTGGAGTCGAGTTGGGATTAACTATGAACAACGCTACCAAGAAACACGTGCCAAATATATTAGGCAACGCTCCTAGGGTATCGTCCACTGATGGGAGTTGCGAGCACTTGAAGGTCAAACTGTAGCAAACTGATTGGTGCGTCACATCGACAATTCGTGAAAATTTTCAGAAGCGGTCAAATCAAGACATTTTTAGATTTGAATTGAGTTCAGCCACATCATGTCTAGTAACGTTCATTCTTCAAGTAACGAAGACGATGCCATCGTGATGATGCATAATATAGGTAATATGACTTCTGTGGTTAATAATATATTTTTTAGTATACGCGTACTAAGTACGTTATGTCAGTATGCAAAGAGAACAGTGATGATCCAACTCAAAAGTACTTTTTCGTGAGTTATGTCTGTACATATGGACGTAAACGCAGTTCGTTAGAGTCAGATGCTTGCGTTCAGGATGTAGATGATGATAGTAATAATCATTCTTCTGAAGAGCATACAACTTCTAACTCGCCAACACAACCTAGGCAAAGGAGACGACGTCGGTCATCTACGTATGCCTTACTTCAAATGAATTTATCCTTCAGGTCGAAATATTGCGCTTCAATGACTACATGCTGCCCTGTGGTCATATTTTGTATGCACATTCTAAAGATCTGATTCGTGGAGGTATGTGTAATCCTTTATCTCTACATGTTTTGTAGACTTATTTCGACATAGCAACAAGTGGACAAGAAAATACATAATGGACCTGGTTCTTCGTGCGCTGGACAACATCTCAATCTCTACAGGGAGTGATGATCTGCTAGAGAAGTTCGCTAGCGACTACCACTCAATCCATGCTCTTAGTGAACCTTTGGCAAGTAAACTCATCCGTTCGTGCCTCGAAGCATCGGAAGACATATGTGCACAATTGATGAGTTCAATCGGTGCTAATGACGAAGCTACAACGTCAGAATCCATTGTTAATACAGACCATAGCTATGCTTCTTGATAACAAGAAGTTATAATATTGTAATGTTTTTAGTTTTACATAAATTCATTTATATGGCCATTGACTTATTCTTATAGCGTAACGGCAGGGAGTGTACTGTGCAGTCTTATGTAGCTGTGAGACAGGGGTGTTGTTTCGCGTTCTTGTGTAATAATTACCAGTTTGGCGCACACGCGATTAGTCATACATACCGTTTACCAAATACTGCAACCTTGAACATGGTGTACCATACTAGTAGTTCGAATTTCGACCTGTCACGATAGATACGAATTGCCGTAATTAAAAAACTGGTGCGTTATAAATGAAAACGTTTATTAAAGTTTGAATCTAGCACAAATGATCCATTAATAAATAACTTCTATTTCTCAGGAATTGTTCCCGTTAGGTCTGTGAACGCTTGCGAAGCTAGCTGGAAATAAGATAGACAGGAAAGTTATTTCAGTATAAATGTTTACCAGAAACTAATATAAAAACGGAAACCAGTATTCAATTACAGATCGAAAGTGCATTTAGCACACCCTTTCTTTGGATAGTCAATCACGCTTATTTCCTTTATCTCTTGCGTTGCTTAGGAAAGTCTGGGTCACAACATACACGGAATGTATTATTTAATTCTTTGGACAGATTGCACTTCAGAAACTTCGACGACGAACATATATAAAGACTGCTGTGTGAATTTACTTTGAATCGTCCTGTGTAACCTGCAGTTCTTGATGCATATTCTATTCTAGTCCCACGTAAGTTATGAGTAATTGTCATTTACGGCATCAGCACGTAAGCTAGACAGGCCTTGGTTGATTTCCGAAGATCATCACATAGGATCTCACACAATCTGGTCACCTTAGATCAAGATATCTTGACTATCGAGTCGTACTTTTCAATGCTTTCTCGTGACAGCTTTATAGCAGTACTTATTTCTGCTATCAGGTATTTTGGCAATAATACCGGCAGCCAAAACATTGTAGCTCCCCAGACAACCCAAAAAGGGGAAATAAAGGGGTAAATGCTTTGGTAGCGAAAGGGGAAAACGCATCAGAATGTCGACTTTTTTTGCCGTTTTGTCGATAAATTACTCACTTTTTGCCTAAATGTCAGCTGAATTGTCTGCTTTTCGCCTAAATACACACAGAACTCCCTATTTTCCATCCATTAACATAACCCCAAAGGTCTACTATGTTCGCCTTTATTTTCAACAACAGACCAAAATAAATCTGCAATACAGTGTAAAACCGGCATGTTTTTGAAAAATTTTATTTAAAAGGTAAAGCGTATTATTGTACAACACTAGAGCAGAAGCTTAAGCATCGATTGTTTTGCATATCCAATGCAATTGCTAATTCATTGTTATTTGAAATTATCTGCAAAAGAAGAAACACGTGATGTATTATTTATAAGCAATGTGCATTTATTCAAAAGTTCACTGACACTCAAACACACATTCTCAACACTTCTACAGTTTCCCATGTAAGTAAAAAAGTAAGCTGTTTGAAAAATATTTATTGAAATGTAGGTAGAACATCAAAACAATTGCACGGCTATTGAGAATTGAGGTAGTCGTCCCGTGAATTCAGAATGTAAAAAAAAGAAAAAAGTCACAACCATCTCTCAATGACATGCTTTGGTACAGCCAAATAATTGTGTAGATCTACAAAAGAGGTAGTAATGCTATCTTAGATTGGTCTTTGGCAGAATCCCCACATAATTATACCTCTACCGCATGATTATGATTTATTTCCTGCAATACAATCATCTGGTGGCTAATATATCTAACTGTAGGAGGTGATATTAACATCTTAAGATATGTGTTATTATCATCTATAGCATATACATAATATTTACAACACTCAGGACACCTTATGTTTTCACTATAAACCTATTTCTGCCATAAAAGTCGAACAAAACAGTGAAAATCAGCAGAAATTGTGATAAAGATAGGAAAAACGATAAATCTTACCATGGTATCGTTAGTTGTAACGCAGTTTTGGTAGCCTTGACGACAATACAATTTTTATGACGATATATGCCTGAATCTTGCTATTTCATATAAAAATAAAAGAATTGTCTACTATCAGTGTATACCTAACTAGAAATAATTGCTAATCTGCGATGCAAACACCGAAAAACTATTATAGCAGCACCTGAATAGTGAATTTTCAAGGACTTCGCGATACCATGTAACGCAAAATGGAAAAACCCCTTTTTACCTAATTATGAAAACGGAAAATAAACTTTCAAATTTATTCATAATGTATTTCGAAATTTGGTTGTGCACAAAGCAGAAATAAAAAAGTAGCGCAAAAAAGTGTCGCGATACCCCTGGAGCGCTGCCAATATATTAGAAGGCGAAGGTTGAACGTAACCAAATAAATCCATAAAATCCCCGAGAAGCCAAATATGAGAAGGCAGTTAATGGACCAAGTCGAGATATATTTGCTGGCGATCTCGTGGTATTGAAAGGATACCGAGATCGTGCCAGGTGCAAGCTTGGTTACAGAACGTAACCGAATTCGCGCGAAGTCACAATCAAAGTGTAAGTATAAGAATGGAAGCACATTATAGCTGTCATTAGCACATTCAAACAAAAGCACATTAAAAGAAACACTGGTACAGATGGTCATAATAATAATTGTTTATATTAAACCAGTCGTGTTCTCGTGATAAATGTGAGTCACTACAAATGAAGGAGTTCATAGATATATTTTGAAGGCTGGTTTGGACTGGCTAACAGTTGGAAGCGATGTATAGCACGGCTTACTCACTCGTGATCTGGTGAGGATTCCTGACTGGTTGCCTTCAGCTAAGAAGTGTTTATTTAACTAGGTCAGCATCAATGTCTAAGACTCACGGAACTATAGATTTTTGGGATTGATTTACCGCTACACCACTTTGTCAATATTGTTTTCCGGTGATAAACAAAGCGCTGTCTGGTGATCTCAACAATCTACATGTGTACATAAAGTATTTCCATCACCAGAGCGTTAATAATAATAGCTACGAGGCGCTAATATATTATATACAACTAATAGTCTACATCCACTCAATTCCGTTGAAAATGATGTGATGGCCAATATTGCGTGACCATACTTCAAAATCACACAACGACATGTTCAACCTAACCAGGTGGTTAGGTTGATAGGCATTTTCAATGTTTTTAAAAAATGAATGATATCTTACTTGAAAGAACGTACTTTTGAAATAACGACGAAAAAGTATAATTCTCGTTACTGAAGTGTCCAAACTCAAGTAAAAAGGGAAAAGAATGTAGTCAACTACTCTGTACTACCAGACTAGTACAAATAATGAGGAAAGCACATTCATCCAGCGATGATAACCCGTTTTAATCACTGGTATTGTAAAAGTTGTTTAACTATGACGTAAACTAAGCTTTTCCTAAATAATAAGCGACAACATCGTTCGTAATTCCATTGTTCGCTCTATCACTTCTATGCTCCAACCGCGAATTTTAAGACACCGGACACGGTACCAGATGCAATTAGAATCACAGACATGGAGGTATTAATGCAAAAGAATTTAACGCCAGTACAACTGAGTCAAATTATTGGCACCAACACCTCAACTCTGTTGATAATTATTAATAGTGAACGGTTCGAGCAATACTGACAATTGCTCGATCCGTAACGACACCTCTCTAACTTTGACTAAGTTTAGTAAGCGACTCGAAATGCACTGACTATTCTTCCACGGTAGGGATGAGTTTTGCTCAACGAACTTGTTTAATGTCTGATGTTTTACTGACACGACACATATGACGTTATCAGTCCAAGAATATGCAATCTAGTTATGAAAGAGCACAGAATTACTTTTGTGATTTTTGTTTTTTCAATGTGATATAGCGAATTCGGCTGGTGGAAATCTTTGCTAACATAATTTGATGCGAAAATTCCAACTTGAAATTTTAAAAAATAACCAAACTTTTATTGGCGATATCCCCCTTGTTGGACGAACAACAATCATCATGATTAGTCAGTCTCAACAAATGAACCATTCACCGATTGCTGAAATACCAAACGGCATAGTCTGCTCCTTTCAATATAGAAATCCCCAAATAGACACTATCCGATCTACTCTCGTCGTAGTGATGATCACATCTTTAGTTCTAACCTTGAAATTACTGTAATCGTGTACATGAAGCAATATGAAAGACATTACTGAAAATAGGCCTGTCACCCTTACGATTTTTACCATTGCATTACCTCTATATTTCGGAATCCCTCAAAATGTGCAGACTTCTAGGTTTTTGTCGTAAAACCCCGAAACATGCGACTTAAAGTGGTCTCAAACATGATTTTTCAAAAGTACTAAATACAAATCGTTGGTAGGAATATTCAAATACTTTGTAGCTAATCTTACGTAAACGAACTAATAGAGAATACGCGATACAATCCTTATGATTAGGTCGCAGACAACGGAAACGACCTGCCTTTAAATTTGTCAGCTTATTTATTCGTTCAACAGCCGCTGTACACAAGAACCCCAACAGAAAACATAACGCTAGCCATACGAGATTGCACATTCTGGCACTTGACCGGGATGTGATATTCCACTTCCTCAAATCATGTGACTGTCTTAATCATACAATTTATCACTCACTACGTGGAACTGTTAACATCGTACTTAAGATATTGCTAATAGTAATTATGAAACTTATATGATTAACTGAATAATCAGACATAAACTACGTAAGCATTTGGGCAGAATAGGGAGTTAATGTCATCACATTGGTTAATTAACATGCTCTGTATGTTTATTTATGGTATTCAAAGAACACTATGATCAAATTCAACCAATAAATTAAACTATCATCTCACTAACCAAACGCAAACCACCTAACTCGCTGCATATTGATAATAGCATTATGTGAGGGAACACTTTGAATAGACTAAGATGTACTTTTTCATCGACTTTATTTTAATATTAAAAAAAAAGAAAACTGTGATATCTGAATTTTTAAAAGTTGAAGAGAACTATTAAATATAAATAAATATAGATTATATCAGCCGTTTTACAATTATATCTGCGTTTGATAAGCGTTCACGTT